AACTCAGCTTATTTCTCCACAAGGTGGGAAGGCTCAACTTCACAGATCCAATAACTAGACAGTAACTGCCTTAATTCCTCTTCCCTACGTGAAGACTCGGTGAAACATCATCTCACAACAGGAGATGGCCTAGTTTGTTAGTCTATTCAACCTGATTAGAAGGAAAGGCTCAGCAGGATTTCTCAAAGACAAACCTACTACCAAGATTTTAATGCAGATGTGGAGGATTAAGTGAAGAGTTGAGAAATGAGACTCTGCTTGCAAGTCATCCGAGAGCCCAGAAATGAGAGCAGAGAGCATTTAGCTGCTAGAGTTACAAGACAAGGAGGTTATATAGATTTTATTTTAATTCCTTTCCCCTTGTCCTTCCCCAGAAAGCCCTCTGGGATGGCTGGCTTTCCAGAACTAACACCGCTCTCTGCTTCTTCCAGGTACCGAAACAAGAAGAGACAAGTGAACACCAGTGAATACAAGGAAGTTGGTACCCTGTAGGAGAATCCGTGGCTTCATACAGTGTTCTGCTCATCTGGACAGACTCAGTGGCTTCCCTTCTATTTAAATGTTATTTTTATTTACAATATTTATATTCTGTTAAAAATTTCAATTGTTTGGTGATCCAATCAGTATAGGTCAAGCTTTTTATTTTCAGTGTTTTTTTTTTTTATTTAATGGTATTTCTCAATGAGAATCCTACATTAAGTGGGATAGAGATATATTTTTGTAACAGTGTGTCTTCTTGCCAGTACTACCTGGCTCAGACTCTGAATAGTAATTTTAATAGTATTTATTCTTGTAAATATGTGGAAAACAATTTTACTCCTTGAAATAAAAGTTCTAGACCAAATTAAAATGTCTGTGTGGTCTACTCAATGTGAAAGTTGCACTTGGCATAGCCAAGCAGGATGTTTCAAGTCCCAGTAGTTAATTTGGGACAGAGAAAACAAGTATCACATTATCTCTAGTAATATGTACCAATACATCTCCATTCCAATGAGCATGGATATTAGCTGGCATACTTTGAGGAAGGCTTAAAGGAGCAATGCAGCTGCGAGCTCACTGTGTCCTAAAATGTACTGGGCATCAGCACTATGGATCTCAGCTCATCCTTGCAGGCAGGAAGGAGTCATATCTTAGGTTACAGCATGAAAGCAGAAGCACAAGTTGATCGTTCTCTGCAACTGAACACACTACCAGATAACAATTCAGGGTATGAGCAGCTATAGGAGAATCTACTAGCTATGGGAAAATCTACCAGCTTTCTCAGAAAAAGTACCAACACTCCATTTCTGCACCTCACTTTCCCTGTGTTTGCTCTTGTTGTTACTCCTGTTGAGAGGAACTTTAAAGCATATTAGTTGTTAATCAGAAGCAAGTCAAGCAAAGTAATGTAGTTGTCATCATGTGAGTGAGGAGCCATGTTCTTCTATTCCTTCACTCAACTTGGAAATCTTGAGCACTTAATATAGGTACTTCATTGGACTAAAGTAGCAGTAGAACAGCATCTGAATTGTCCCTGTTAATCCCATCACTTCTCACACTTCAAGAGCATTCAAGAAGAAGCACCATGCTTGTCATTCCTTGTGTTTGCCAGAGTTTAGTGCTGTCTGTATCAACCTGAAGTGCTTGATGTGCCAGGGTGCAAAACCTGTGATCTCTTAACCCATGCAGAAGCATCTTGGTAGGAAGAGCAGTGGGACCCAGAACTTCACAAGTGAAAGTGCTATTTCAGAAGCTCTGTGTCTATAAGGTGAATTCATCTTGGCTGGCATATTGCAAAAGCTGCAAGCCCAGTCAACTAGGGCTCCACCTGCCATTCCACAGAGAAGTCAGTTGGCTCTTTTGCTCTCCCCTTAAACTTTAGGTCTGTCTTTGGTGCTCTAGAGATCAAGCAAATGAAAGGGAGATTTGCCTCTCAAAAGTGATTTCCTTTGTTGTTCTGCTATGTGTCATAACAATTTTAAGATGAGATTGTAGATAACAGTGCTTAAGTCATCTTTGCATCATCCTTGATCGTAAAGCTCATATGTGACATGCCATGAGAAGGAACCCACAAGTTATTCCATGTATATGTACAGCAATCTGTCGAAAGGAGGCTAACTGTGCCAAGTCATTCAGCAAGCAGTGGCCTCTAGGAACCTCGCTGTTGATCTCAGTCTGGAAAACAGATGGGTTGTGATCGGGAACTGAGGAGAGTGGCTGCAAGGTGGGAAAGGTTTGTCCAGGTGCTCTGTCCCTGACAGGGTGGCCTGCACCCCTTCCATTGGAAAAGATGAATCATCTGGAAGGAACTCTGCCTTTTTCCTGGCTCGACACTCACTTCCTGACCTCAACTTACTTTCCCTATTCTCTTCCTGTTGACAAGTAGCAACCACACCAAAGGAGTAATTAGGCAGACTGGTGTTGTGGTGAAATAGCTCTGCCCAGATTCTGCCAGTTTTCATTGCACTTCTATCTTGAAGCTACCTGAATGGAGCAAATGTGAGGTAATGGGGAGGAGGAGCATCCGCTTAGCAAAACAAAGGTGTGATCAGAGCACGGACTGACATTACTCATGCTGGATTGCCCCAGCAGTGCCATGCATGAGAGCCCGGCTGCCCCAGGCCCCTACACGTGAGCTCTGCCTGCAACAGTGGAGTCCGCTTGCAAGAGTTTCTCTGCTGCTGGTTCCCCTGCTCCCTATAGATCTAGCACATACTGCTCTTGTGGTCTCTCTCCGTGGCAGCTGTATCAGCTTCTGAAGTGCTGCAACCATCAGCGTAATTTCTGCCTGCCAAAAAGCTGCAGGTAAATGGAATGCAATCAAGCCCCATGCAAAATGTGCGGTGCTTTGCTCATCCTCGCTTCCCAAACAGAAAAACTTGGCTAAGCCACAAAGCCCAAAGGAAGAAAATCTCTCAGGTTGTATATGGCTGTTTCGGGTTGGAAGGGACCACCTCTGCATTTCCTGTCTGTGAGGGCTCGCTCACCTGGCAATGTGGCGCAGAGCAGCCCGTGTTGATCTCATCATGGATATCATGCTCATCTTTTGGTTTCTGAAACACAGGTTATCCCATATGGTTTACACTCTTCGTGCTTGATCTGTTGGTAGCTACACTCAGAACTGGCCTGTGCTACCTTCTGCAGTCTTCTGACATGACTTCACTCATTTTTGGCATTAATACAGGCCAGTCCTCATCCAGCCCTCAATACGGGCCTGTCAATGTCTTGGCTGTGCCCGGTCGGTACAGTTCTTTCGCTGGCCTACCTGGTGCTTTGTTCCTCCATTTGTCATCCAGCTAGAAGGATATCGTTGGTCATCGCTGTTAACTGGGCTGTGTCACAAAGTCCTCATTAGCTTCTCTTTAGCTTTTCCCTTCCTCTCTCCTCCTGGGTAATCCAGTTGTCAGAGAGGAACCTGTTCTGCCAGCTGACTGCTGGCTGCTAATGGCAACTCCAGCAACAGCCACCTGGGAGTTGCCATTAGCAGCCAGCTTCCCCATGGGAAGATGGGGCATAAAATCGATTCTTGGAGCAACTTCCTATTCTTGCAGGGACCCAGTTAGGATCTGTGGTGACACATCTCTTTTTCCCTCTCAGGTCCCCTTCACGTTTCTGTGAAACACTCCAGCCTGTCTCTGTTTATCCTTCGGGAACTTTTCCTGGGCTCAATGGAGAGACTCAGCCCAGAGATATTCTTAACAGAGCTACGTTTTGCTCAAGCTCCCACATCCTTCCCTTTCTGCTCCTCTACTCTGTGTTGTAAGAGTGTCAGAAAAGGGGTATCCATCCTCTAAACTCGCTTTCTGTAAACTATGAAGCCACGTATTGAAGTCCTGTTAGCTCTAGAGCCCAAAAGGCTTTAAGCTGGATACTCTCCAGGTCTCCATAGATCTTTTGGCTGCTGGCCCTTGTAGACCTGAGAAACTGTAGGAGCTGAAAATACTTCCTTCTGCAGCAGGTGGATTCCACATAGCTATTACTGCAGTCACTGAGATTTTTATTTGAATTAAGGGCAAAAACCTGAGGCTTATCATGCCTTTAGCTTTTTTGATCAGACAAGTCTGAGAACAATAGTTCGGTTTCAGGCCTGAGTGCTATTTTTTTTCTATCTTTCTTAACTTCAGCTGACTCTTTTGCTTTGGCTTGGGCTTTCCTACCTATCCTGTTGCTCATCTCATTCCCAGCCCATAACAGCCTTTCCAGACCCTGTATTTTTCTCACTTCTGAACATGATTGAGCAACTGCAAAGATTGGGGCCGCATACCAGCCTGCCACCTCAACGGCTTGCCGGCTGCGCTCAGGTTGCCAGCCCAGCAACCACGCAGCAGGCCCGGGTGACGCACTGTGCTCCTCCGCCACAGAGCGCGAACCTCCCTCATTCCTGCGACGAGCAGCAGCTCCGTCCCCCTGGCGCTGCTCTTCCTCGCCCGCGCCGCCCACTTCACAGTCACCTTTGGCTGCCTCTCTCTTCCCGCTGGCGGGAGGGCCGGCCCTGTGCGTCGCCTCCAACGCTGCTCCTACGTGTGGGCCTTCCTGCCGAGCCGCTTTGCCTCACGTGCAGGTGTGGCCGGCGCCTGTCGGGGAAGCTCTCTGGTGCCCCTACCAAGCTGTAGCGAGGCAGAGTAATGGGGGCAGAGTAACTGGGGGTGATGAGAACTAGATCCAGGGGAAGAGAGCCACTGGGGACTGTAGTCATCTACGTTCTCAGGGCTACCAAGATATCCTTGTGTGGCTGTTCCTTGTGAGTCTGAGGGTAGCTAGAACTGCAGACTGCCTCGTTTCTCAGTCCCTGTTCTGCTACAGCCCATTCAGCAGCAGCACCAAGTGAGTGCAGCTCCCACCAGCTGGGGCTCAGAGATTTCTGTTACACATCTCCCTATCGTTTTAAACCCAGGCCTGCCCAATCAGTAACCCTGCTGTAACATTCTTGCCCACATCTCTGTGCATTTGGTCTGAAATCCACTGCAGCCTCTTAGGATTCAGGTAAAAGGTGGTAGCTCTCAAGTCTTCAGCTGCTTCACTGAGTGAAAAATGTCAGCACGTTTTCTCATGGTATTCCGTGAGAGGACAGTGCTTTTCTGAGGCAAAGTTTACAGTAACTTCACTGAAACGCTCCTGTGCAAAAGCCACTCACGCTAGTATTTCCCTTGGCCACAACATACCTTTTTTTTTTTCTTTTTTAAAATAAAGCATTAGAAGAAAAATATTGCCAAAAGCAGCAGCCAGCCACAAAACTACAGAGAGATCAGAACAGATGTAGTTACAGTAAATGAAGCCATCTCTCACTTTGCCAGTTCTAGAGGGGCAAACTTCTTCCTTGTTTCTTGTGCGCCTACTGTTACCAAACTTGGAATTATTATAATTACCACAATACCGCAAAGGTTAAAACCGAACCTTACTGCTAGCAGTTTTTTTCTAACATTTCCTTTGCCTGTGGCCTACACAGCAGATGACACAGGAATGTGTTTTGCCTGAGAAGTTGACCTTTTTCCTATCCAAAGGCCATCTGCCTATTGCGTGTTTCATGCTAAGCACCTAGGGGTGCTTTGGCAATTCCAAGACTCTACAGGTCACGTGTTCCCCTCAGTAGTTTTCCTTGGAGTGTGTCAACTGGCAATGCCATCCGTTTGCTGGGGACTGAAGGAAGCCTCCATTACGATCTTGGATTACATCATGGAGGTGGAGAACATTTTGTCAACTGATTCCAGTCCCCATTTATGCAAATCTCAAATTGCACATTACATCTAGTGCCTCAGCTTGGCTCTACTTGTGAGAAGGCCAGATGTGGGGCACAGGGAGGAGAGGAGGTGAAAAGGGTTGGAAAGACTCACAGATTACCTATTTGTTGGAAATCTCAAGTGAGTCAGTAGCAGTTGTCCTTCTCCTCTCTGTTGAAGGAAGGATGGATGAAGGGATGAAAGGAAGGACAGAAGGATGGAAGGTGCTCCCTAAGTAAATATAGGAGTTTGGTCTTGCACAAATAGTCCTTATTATTTTAACAAAGCTGGTGCCAAACCTAAATTAGCTCAACTCTTCCATTATATAATTCCATCCTGTATGATTAAAAGCTCTCCTATCCAACTGGGAGATCGAAACAGTTGATCAAAAAATATTGAGAAATCTCTCTGCCCCACCCTGAGGGGTGCCAGTCTGATCCTTCTGACCCAGTCTTCAAAGGACATCAACCTCCTGATAGGAAAACTCACTAGAAATTTAGAAGAAGAGATGCAAAGTGATCAATCAGTAACCTCAGCTGGGAACTGCCGGCTGCCAGAAGACATTTGCCAGTAGTACCCCGTGGTCCTGTGTTGGTGGCTCTTTCTGCTCCAGTCTGTCAGGCTGGTTGTCTGTGCCCTTCAGTATAACGGAAACCTGAGGCAATTGTACAAGCCACATAAATGAGGAAGAGAAGCCAGTTTAGCTGCCTCTCCAACAACTGTTGTCATTCAGTCAGTAGAGGAAGGGGGGACTGTTTTCAAGGGAGAAGGCTGGCTGACAGAAGATGGATGTCCATCAAGACTGTGAGCACAGAGGAAGAGAGGAACAACCCTTCCAATTGCTTCTGAGAGGACACTGGAACCAGGCTGCAGAATCATAATATGGGGGCAGAAAATCAGGGAAGAACAGAGCGTAGATGAGGGCAGGAAAAGACAATAAGGCTTTTAACTGCAAAGGGGACACGAAACTGTACTCAGCTGGAAACAAGAGAAATCAGAACCTCACAAAACCAAAGCATCTTCAGCCTCTCACTATTTGGAGTTCATTCATCAGGTCCAGCTGCTCAACCCACCCCTGCCAAAAACAAGCATCCTTGAAACAGGGGAGCAAGACCCAGCAAGTTTCAGCTGTCAGAAATTGGCCAGAGGAGGACAGACACATTGAAATCAGGACCAAAATCAGAAGATAAAGCCTGATTTACACCACAGGGGAAAGCCAGGCACAGTGAGGGCAAGCCATCATTTTCACAGGAACAGTGTGAGGGATCAACATGAGCTCTTCCCTCTGTCCTGGCTCTGAGAGCCATGGCTCTGCTCCTTCTTGCTAGCAACTTGTTTGTGTTTTGAAATGGGAAGGGGATATCCCAGTCAGGGCTGTTCCCAAAGCCAAGCCTGAGCAGCGGGAAAGGCCCTGCTGCAGAGGGGCTCCTGCCAGGGCTCCCGGAGCCGCCCGCCTCTGCCAACATCCCGCCAGCTCTGAGCAGGGCCCCCACCTCAGGCGACACTGCGGTTGCTGCTCTCCTCCCGCTGTGGCCTTGTCCTGACTCATCACATTCCTCCTGGCCGTGACCTCAACGACAGTGCTGTGCGTATGTTCTGACACGGCAAGACAGGGCAGCCACTCCTCAGAAAGAAGTAAGGCTGTTTCTGCAGGGAAGCGTGCTGGAAATTTTTCCATCAGAAGGACTTTTCTAACAGAAAATACAGGTTCTGCACAATGCAAGTTATTTGCTTCTGTTTTCTTTATTCTTATCTCAACACGTTTATCTAGTCATCTGGTTTAAGTTGCCACTAAGGTAACTAACTGGAATATTTCATTTTGGATAGGTCAATGCTAATCAGAATATTTCTGATTTAACAACTCGACCAAGCTTCTCTGTTCTCAGTGGGCTTAGATCAAGCAATAAAGTAAACAGAAAAAGCCCATTCATTATCTGCTATTCCTGAATGGTTCAGAGCTCCATGAAATTTCTAGCACTGGTTTCATTCCCACCTAGTGGTCATCCTGAAGACTACACGCCCTGCTACAAGATGCTGATTTCTTTGCAGTGGACAGCATGGGTGTCATCCAGCGGTGGCACACACTGGGCTCCGAGATGGCACGCGGCGCAGTAGATGGCGGGAACGGATCCCCCCAAGGACATCCTGCCATGGAGGTAGCTGTCAGGAGGAAGCAACATGCAGAAGTTACCTGTTGAAACCACTCTGAAAAGAGCACAAAACATATGGAGCATAGAAAAACCGACATTTTTGTGTGCATCAAAAAAAGTGGAAAATAAGTGTTTCAACATGTTCATAAGACAAATTTTGTAACATTGCCCATACCTATGTGGAAAAAATAAATTCAGCTAATGTCCTGTTTTGGAAGAGAATTCAGGGGCGGAAAGGCAGAATTTTCCATAGGGCAGACACGTGGTTTGGTCAGTCCTGATCTGAAACGCACAGAATCTCCAAAAGATTCTCACTGTTTCTTTTGCATGCTCAGAGTGATTAATCAGCAGTGCAAAGCTTCATTTCACGATATTTACTTGCCAAATCTTCTTTTCTGTTCCAAGCAGCAGGTAACTGCAGCTGCCTAAGAGCGATGCAGCCACCAAGAGCATTTGGTGAGGCTTGTCTCTCACAGCCGCTGGTGCCCTGAGCCTCGGCCTCCCTTTAGCAGAGGCTGGAAGCAATGCCAAACGATGTGACGGATTTTACTGACCCCACAGCCGCCCTTCCTGCAAATTCATCAACTTCAGAAGGAGCTGCTCGAGCTCATGGTCTGAGAATGCAAGAGTCACTGTGTCCTCGCAGGGATTTGGCGATGACCTCAGACGTGATGCACTGAGCCCCCTGCAGACACCGGGGTGGGGAGGTCTCCGGCTGCCGCAGCATTGATCAGCACTATGGGTGGTCAGGAGATGGCCCGCGTGGCCTTGGTGGTTCTTGCAGCGCTGGTGCAGAGCCATGCTAGGGAACGCTCTCCCCACGCTCTCCTCTGGCTGCTCACAACGCAGTCCCTCACCCGCCTGCCTTCCTTGCAGATCTTTGCCTGCGGTACCGCAGGGAGTCACTGTTTCCGTCACCGGTGCTCGGGAGTGCGGAGAAGCTGCCTTCATGCCCCATTCTCTGCCCCAGAGGTCCAGCTCGTGGGGTTGCCGGATGAAGGACAGCAATGTGGCAGTGTCACAGCCCACAGGGATGGCACCTGGGCAATGCAGTGCCTGGCAGTCATGTGCCACCGGCCCGCTCAGTCAGAAAAATAAACATGCAGAAGCCGGGTTGGGCTTTTGAGGGAGAGCCCTGGAGTTCCACTACCCCTCAGCAAATAGAGGTAGGTGCTGCAGAGCAGCCCCGGCCTCTCGTCTGGCCTTGTGCTCAGCTGCAGTGGGCAGAGCCACTCACTCTGCAGACACCGGGGGCCTTTGGGCTCTGCACAGACACACCAGGCCCAGGCCCGTGTCAGGGACACCCAGGGGCAGTCCCAACCCCAGCGGAGCCAACAGTGCAGGAACAGCAGCTCTGCCCATGTGGGTCCGCACTGGGTAAAAAGTGACTCTCTGTGTAACAGCAGGGATGAACAACAGTCCTGCTCCCTGTGAAGAGTCAGCTCCTGGTGTTAGTCCCAGGCACCTTGAACACGGTTGGGAATAGCCTTCCTGAGGGTAAAATTGAAGAGGATTGTTTGCTAGCAGTGAAGTAGGAAGTTGGAATAAAGATTTGAGATGTTAGGAATGGGGACAAATCCTGTTACCCAAAGCTTGTGCAGTAAAGGAATCTCTAGGGCAAATAAATCCATCCTGTAATTTGGATCAGAATCATTAGATGACCAGAGACGGAGATCTTCTCTCCCTCCCACACAGCTGATTTTGCCCTGAGTCCCTGTCATGACCAGGACCTCCTCTCAGCTCTTGTCATCTGGCACTAGTTTGAAACCAGCTTCTTTCCCATGCTGTAGCTGTGTTACTTCTAACCATGGTGAGGGAACAGAGCTGAACTCAATGCTTCAGGGAGAGCCTTGAGCGGGAGCATCCAAACAGCAGCATTCAGCAGTGCATTTGCAAAGTCCCTTCATGCTGTTGCCATTTGCAGGAGACCTCTGCCCCACAGCTTGGCCCTGCTGGCACCTCCTGGGTAAAGCCCATAGGGAGAGAGGGAAAGATGCAGAAGCTCATGTTCTGGTGACGCTGTAGAAGGATATGAGGGATATGAAGAGGGATATGAAATGTCTGTGCTGCCCATGTGGGAGGAATACCTGACCCCAGCTCAAAGCAGATTTGGTTTTGCTTGGGAGGGGCAGGATGTAGCCCCATGCAGCACGCCAAGAGGACAGCTTAGCAGCACGCTGGTGTAAACAGGTCTCTGTCCAGAGACTCTGGGAGCAGCATCCTTTCTACAAGAAGGCAAACCTACCAAGAGGCGGAAATGAGCCAGCACTCAGGAAACCTCCCTTGCAGCAGCAGGGTGCAGTCGCTGTGCGAAGGAGGCCTTACTCACACGGGTGGGTGTCTCCGCACTCGTGTCCCGGGAACGCGCCGCAGCCAAAGTTCAGCCTGTGGGGCCAGATGCGGCACGGCAGGGACGAGGGGCCCCGCCGTGCACGGGCTGGGCTGGGGGCTGCCTGTGGCTGGGGGGGGGCGCTGGTGGCAGCCTCACAAAGCACAAGCTCGCTGGGACCTCCCTCAGCCGCTGGAATGAGCCCCCAAGGTGCTATGGGTCACTTATTCCAGCGGCACCTTTTTGGTGTGCCAAATTTTATGCTTGTTTGCTAGCAGCCTGGCACAATTAATTAAGGCGACCAACGTCACATCACGAGGACCCAACACTCATAGCCAAGTGCAGGCACCGGCAGCAAACAATGGGATTTCCAAGGAAGCAAAACAAACATGTGTGTGAAATAGTGTGTTCTCCTGAGCTTCTTTGCTTACTCACGGCCTGTGAAAAAACAAAATCCAGAGTGATCTACGTAATCCTTGCTGTGCGTAGGAAGGCTTGCCTGGGCTTTGTTCTAGGGAAAAATCTCGCTTTGGCGAACGTGAGAGGAAAGGAATTTCTAATTGCTTTAGGCTTCTCTTTGTGATTCATTGTTTCTTCACATACGGAATGACTTCAAACAGGTGAAGAAAATTCACCTCCTGATGCACAGATGGGAAGGCACTAGGCAAACACTCAGCTGTGGTAAGAGAGCACCAGGTGTCCTCCTCTTCCTGCCGGTGAGGTGAATCAGAAGGAAATCCATTCACAGCAGGGGAAGGATGATGAGTCTCACTCTGCTCCAACCCCAGGGAGCTCAGCAAAGCACACCTGAGCACAACTTGGTTTTACTGTAACTGGCCTCTCCAACCTGTCAGTGAAAGGCTTTTCTGGGGACAGGTGATGAGCCCCAGACAAGCACAGACTTAGCTCAGAGGAGAGGAGAAGTGAGCAGTTCTTTGTGCACTGATTCTGCTGGGCTTGCCCCTGCTGGGCCTGGATCTGGCCATCCCTTTACTTCTCCCCACATGGGTGGAGGAGACCAGAGTTAGAAGCGCTGGATCCATGTGCTGTCAGGAGGACGACAGTGAGGGTATTTGACCATCAGTGACTACAGTAGACTCAAGAGTAGGAGTTTATTTCTAAATTTGTGGTTGATCCTCATGTTAGTTGATAGGACTCAAGCTTTCGTTTGAAGTTATAGCTCCTCCTGAAGCTTTCCCAAAAGAGAGCGTGGCCGTTAGCTATTTACTTCAAGTCATTCAAGTCACTAACAAACCAATATACACAGTGGAGGGGGGAAATGGGCATGGAACAACAAAACAACAGCACGTCTATCGTGCCCTGTGCTGATGTGTGTCTTAGTAAAGATGCTGCAACAAAATGCACTCAAGCTATCTACGGTGCCTACCTTCCAGGTGTTTCTCATCGTGTGCTGGACGAAACTTGCGCTGCCGAGCAAGAGAAATGCTGCAAGGTGACATCCAGGTGATCTTGCTGTGAGAAAAGAAAGGTAACAAAGGGCAACATCAAGCCATGCAATCTGAGAAACTGCCACACAGTTTACACAGGAAAGGCCCCTTGTTTGAAGGGATTTGCCCAGTTTCCCATAGGGAGCTGGTCCAGCGAGTTCATAACACTTTTCTGCTGAGATGAAATCCTTTCACGCAGGAAGACCTCTGTGCTCTGTCCCTCTGCGTGTGTTTATTTGCTTCCCCAGCCACTCAATTTTGAAACCAGGCTGAAGAAAACACTGTGCAAGGAACATTATAAAGTAAAAAGCTAGAACTTTAGTTGCACTTTAGCTGTCAGAATAAAATCGCCAAACAATTCTTATTTCTCTGTTACTCCAGTCACTATATGAAATAACACGAAATGGGGGAAAAGCATCATGCTACTTCTGTCACATGTTCCCAGTCCTCATATAAGACTGTAATCCCTCAAAAAGCACACTACCATGTAATTTACTGACATATGATGTCCTTCCAAAATAGGATGATGCACATCTCCACAGTGACTTCATGCCCGAGCCACCAACATGAGGAAAGGGACTATTATTCACCCCATTGAACAAACTCAGTTATTCACCTTTCCCATCACAACTTTCATTGGCCTTAGATCTGCTGGATTTTTATGGTGAATATCCTCCTCAGGCAGCCATATGCGTAATCGCAAATTGCTGCTACCCCATCTGCACAAGATCATCTCAAGGAACTTTGTTTTGCCTTCTGACTATAAGAGATGGCTCCTCTGCTGCTACAAACAGTAGTTATATTTACCATGATGATAGGGCACAATACCCCTTAAAACAGAAGATTGAAGTCAGCCTGTGATATTTAAGGATCATCTAAGTGCTTGTGCCTCAGAAAGTTATGTTATTACACGGAGAAAAAAAGTGATTGTCCAGAAGTTCTATGGAAGGAACCAAACAGAAGATTTTGAACTAACATGGCAGATAAATAGATGTTCAAAATCCTAAAAATATATTGAGGTTTTTGTCTTTTTTTTGTGGGTTGTTTTTTGTTTGTTTGTTTGTTTGTTTTGGGGGGTGAGGGAGACAGGTAGAGGCTTTTCTTAACATAAAGATTTCTGCCCTAGTTCTTCTTCAGCTCAGTCTGCAGGAGGCTAAAGAAAAAACACCATTTTCCCCGCCAAGGGTAGACATTTATTCCAGTAACCACACTGAGCACATAACTATTCA